AAAAAAAATAAAATAAAATCTACATGACTCCTGACGTTCATTCATTCAGAGAATATTTCTTGAAAAACGTACCTGCCACACAACATGCTAGGCAGTGGGGAGCGACAGGTGGGAGGGGGATAAAGGACAGCGGGGAGAGAGCACCAACTCTGGAGCCAGACGGGCCTGATTGTCTGAACTCTCACTCTGTTCCATACAAATCACAAAGATTTAGGCAAGCCACTTCTCTGAGCCTCAGTTTCCTTACAGGCAAAAGGAGATGGGTATACTTAACCCCAAGATCCGTGATGAGTACTAAAAGGACTGAACTATCGTTGCGCGTCTGCCTTCGGCTCAGGTCATGGTCCTGGGGTCTGGGGTCGAGCCCCGCATCGGGCTCCCCGCTCCGCGGGAGGCCTGCCTCTCCCTCTCCCACTCCCCCTGCTTGTGTTCCCTCTCTCGCTGTCTCTCTCTCTGTCAAATAAATGAATAAAATCTTAAAAAATAAATAAATAAATAAATAAAAGGACTGAACTATGTAGCGAACAGGTCACAAACTAATGAAGTATTGGTAGACGTCCTCATCCTCCATCCTTATCCACCTTAACAGAAAGAGATACACGGGTAGGTAAATACCCGATGTGACGTATCAGACCGGGCCAAGGAACACTTGGCCCTAGCTGCACCGAAATAACGCACTGGGGATGGAAGTTGACTTCCCAGCTGGGGATCAGGAAAAGCCTCCAGGAGTGCCCTTTGACGGGTACTCAGTAATTGGACTCAAGGAAATTCCAGGCAGGGGGAAGGGAACTGTCAAGTGGAAAGGTGGCCTGGGTCTCAAGGGATCCGAAAGTCCTCAAGGCTGGGGCGTGAGGTTGGGCAGTACTTACGCGGCAGGGTTCTACTAGCTGGGGGCGGCCGTCTTCCGCAGCCCCCTCCCGCGAGGTCCCAGGGGGTGTAGGCGCGCGTGGCCGCTTGGCCACGGGAGGGCAGCAGCGGCCCTTTCCCGACCGCACCCCGAGCGCCTCACAACTTTCCCGACGCCGGTCCGCCCCTGGGGGCTGGAAGGCGGGGCAGAGGCTGAGTCCTCCAGGGGTCCCGCCCGCCGCCCACTCCCCGACCGGCCAGGGATTCCACCCTCGACCCCCGGCCAGCAGCCGGGGCGAGCGCGGTGGCCCCAGGCTGGGCTGTGGGCAGGCGGAGCCAAGGGCCGCCCCAACCCGGCCGGTCCCTCCCCCTGCCGGGCCCGCCCCGCCCCGGCGCGGCGCTGAAGGAGGGCGGGGCGGGGCCCCCGGGTCAGTCTCAGCCTCCGGCACTGGCCGCGCAACTGGAGGCAGCGGAGCGGAAGGTACTCGGGGCCGGGGACTGGGGTGGCGGGGCGTCCCGGGAACTCGTCCCCGGGAGAGCACTTTCGCCCTCCACCGCTTGGCCGGAGCTTTGGGCGCCGGGCGGGGAGGGGGCTTCGGCCAGAGCGCGCCGGGCTGTGCTGGGGTCAACCCGGCTGGCCCCTCCCTGGGCCGCGGCGAGGGCTGTCCCCCACCCCACTCCGGGAACTGCCCCGCGGGGCCTCTCGCCTCCTGTGTCCGAGCCTGGGTCTCTGCCCTTCCCCTCCCGGCTTCCCGGAACCTTCCCCGCCGGGCGAGAAGCCAGGAGGCAACTGAGGGTCTCCGCGAGGGAGCCCCAGTCCAGCCGCTCTGGCTCCCAGGCCGGGTGGCCCGATGTGGACGTGGGCCGGGGTGTGAGTCCGGGCACGAATCCGCCTGGAGGTGGGAATTCCCCCAGGCCGGACCGGTGGAATGGCGGGAACAGGGGCGTGGTGTGACCAGGGGGGGCTGCCACTGCTCCCAGAGGTCTGGACGCCTCCCTAGAAGGTTCCTGGAGTGTACCTGGGGCGGGAGGTAGGGGAGATTGGGAAGGGTCTAGCTCCTTTTTATGTGTGCAAGAATCTCCTCTCCTCCAGACCCCTCCCTCCCTTGCACCCCGCAAACCTGGCTAAAGATTATCCTGGGGCTTTGGACTGGGAGGGTCCGAGGCTCAGTCCTATGCTCACTTCTGATTTTAAAGTTGAGACGGTATCTGATTCCTCCTCTAGCCCTCAGGGCTGGCCTGCAGGGTACAGCCCACCCCGGGTCATCTGGAAATCTAGAGAATGCTTGAGGAGAGAGAGGGTGGGATGTCTTGTCTGCCTGAAGATCCCAGGAGCGTCAGGCTCCATTCCAGCCTCTGTCAGGGTTCGGGTGCCCCTCTTAGGGTCAGTGGGGCAGTTCTTCTGGGGCTGCCTCTCACAGGGAGCTGTTTTCCTTGCCATGTTGGCCTTGGGCCTAGTGTCCTGGCCTGGCCTAGGCCAGCTGCTCTTCTTACCCAATGAGAGCCTGAAGGGAAAGTCTTCTCATTGAGCTGGGGGCTCCAGGTCACTTAATGCATGTCTTTGCCCCTGAATTCTGTCCCGTGGCTCCCGCCATCTGGTGCCACCTAGACTGCCCTGCTGTCCGAGGCCAGTGGCACGCTCACACCTTAGCAACTGGTACTCACCATGGGGGTGACTGCCCTTCATCAACACTGCCCATCCCAGGCGGGGCTACCCCAGCCTGTTTTCGCCCAGCTGGACCAATGGAACTAGCTGGACCGATGGGACTAGCGGGAGTGGGTGGGGGGAGCTGATCACCTGGGCAGAATCTCCAGGGAGCACCCCGTTTTTGAAGGTGGTGTCCATTTTTGAAGGGGATCTGCTGGCATGGTGAATGCCTTCTTGCCTGTCTCTCGGGGTACTGGGGAGAGAGCCCCTTTTGAGGTGGGGAGAGTGTGGCGGTATCCTCTCAACTCCTATAAATTCTCTCTGACTCATATCCACTTCCTCTCATCCCCGTTTTGTGCGTGTGTGTGTGTGTGTGTGTGTGTGTGTGTGTGTGTGTGGAGAGGAGGCAGGCCACCCAGGATCCCACCGTTGAAGAGAACTAGCTTTGAGCTTGGAGCATTCGCTTTCCTGAAAGACCAAGCCAGGGCTGTGGGGTGGTGGTGGTCTGTGGGGAATACAAGAGTTCAGCCCAGTTTGACAGGATGTGGGACTGAGAGAAAAAGCCAGGTTTGGGGCAGAGATCAGGTTACCATCCCCTCCGTTCTTAACTACTCCCTGTCTGGTTGGTGAGGCCACTGGCCCATGTTCAGCTCTTTTTTGGGAGCTCCTCCCAGCTCGGGCTCTAGCCCCCTCCCCCTTCCCAACAGCCTCGACGGCATCTCGGCTCCGGAGCCCGCCCTCTCTTCCTCCAAGGCTGGAGGCTTGGGAACCTCAGCCGGCCAGAGGGCAGCTCCTCTCCCCAGGGAGGGGGGAAGTGAGGCTCGGCTCAGGGGCAGGGAGGCTGGGTAGGTGTGATGAACTGTGCAGATGCTTGCTCGGGTGTGTTGGGGGCCGGGGACC